CTCCCAGGTCATGCTATGCGACTGCCAGGCGAGATAACCCGTCCGGATCACTCAACTACTGAAATGTTTCATAGTCGGTCCTCGGGAAGTCGCTGAAGGCGTGGTCCGCGCAGACGGCTTTCCTGGACGGACTATCTGACGTCTCTGACGACGATCCCACGCTCGTCGGCTCGCTGTACGAGACGACTACTTCTGATGAACCCCGCCCCTTACCTGACACGGGGTCAATATTCAATACGATTTTCACCAAGTTAGGGGCGCCTAGAGTGGGCTGGCAACTGCCACAGGCGCCACCTGTGGCAGTTGTCAGCCCACTCTAGGCGCGAAATCTGTCAGCACTTATACCAACAGTGCAGGTGTCAATCAAGCTGTTTGGGACCAGTCAACAGCTACCACTCCTCCTAAAACGCCAGTTCCATGCGAAATGTAAGGCATTCTGTTTTTTCATGAATACCTCCTTTGGTAAAAAGGCACACAGTGAAAAACAAGCCAATTTCACTGGATGAGCGTCCGCGTTTCTTCAACTCATCGGCTATGCAACTGAATTGGTGAAATGGTTCGCAGACTACCGTAATCCCCAGGTGCACACGATATTTTAATGTTACTTGCTGTCATGCTTCATGGTCTCGGTTTTTGTTGTTTTTAGGTTCTTTCCCCTTACTGTCAGTTTTGTGGTGTTAACAAAAAAACCATAAGCCAGAGCATGACCAGATTCACAAAGCCTCGATTTTTCAGCATGTCCGGAAAACTCTTACAATGAGATGCCTAAAGAGGAATCTCATTCAAGTTTTTATGATTGGTTGTCTTTTGATTTCTTTTTCATCAGACAAATCGTTCAGCGACAACAGGTTCCCGAATGAATAAAAATACCTGGAGTAAACAATCGCGGGATTTGTCTTTAAGTGCTAAACATCGCACACTGAGCTACTTGCGCTGCACGCACTGCGAAGTCCGAACCACACAGAGCACTTAGTACAACTTACACTCCATATACCAGAGATATAAAGCGTAGTTACGTAATTCATTCGCTGTGATTGCCCTTCCGCAAGGCACTTCCGTTTTTAGACAAACGTAGTCATGTTGACCAGCACAAGACAGAAGGAAAGCACTCTTAAATGGAAAAATGCTACGGGAAACGCATCCTAGTCTAGTTAAAGGTGTGTAATCACACCCCTCCATCTCCGCGATATGGTGGGTATGTTTCTTCGCATGAAACTTAAGGAAGATGAACAGAACAAAAATGAAGCAAACCTTGGCATTTTTCGCTTCGAGCAGATCTTCACGAGAGTAAACGAGTACATCATGCGACATAGAAGTACACAAACCCTTCTTGGCGATTTCCGCTGCGAAGTGGTCGACTCCTGAAATAGTTCAAAGTTTAAATCAATAAAATAGCGGTGTTCGATGAGAACTGATATTTCGGAGATACGAAACCCACCTTTTTCCGAAATTATCTCTAATTGAACCATATTAATTAATCCAGAGTACTCCTGCGCTGTCGCTGTGATACTGGTCGAATTGGACTCCGCCCATTGTTTAAGCACCTGTTCAATGAAGATTTATGAACGAAAAGTAGGAATTTTAATAAAAACTACTATGGACAAATCTTGATGCTGCAAAACTAGTACTAGCAGTATTAGCCGTAAAATATCATTAGACGTACCAGAAGCAGAATTTTTTTTTCTTTCGAGGAAAAAAAAACGTCAAAATCTACGAACAAAATGTCAAAGTTCAATTAAAATGCACTGAACGATTTCATGTTGCTGTGTGACACCCCAAGTTCCAACGGAGTAATGTGGTTGGGACAGGCTCACGCAAGAACAGTGCGTGCGACTTACGATCACGGATCGCACAGTACAGTAGTTGGTCAAGGGTTAACATGAACCAAATAGCACCTACAGGAACAATGGATTTATAGTCTCTTTGAAATGCCTCAAATTAGTTTCACCTAAAAATATGCCATGGAATCCGTGGGTCGAAATGTAAAAACATGTACGAGCCTAGGGCACATCATTGGTTGAGGAGTTTAGTCAAGTCCATACGAGAGAGCGGGACACATGGAAAATCTACCATCAAAATGAATTTATCTCAGACCAAGTACGACCGCCCCCTCTTGTTGAAATCTGCAACGACGATGTGGTCTGGGCGAGTCAATGGATGGGCTTTTCAAAGAGAATGGGTTCCGGAGTATTAAGCCACAAATAAATGTATGAAAACCTGGAAAGTATGAATACCCGGTGACCATGAAATGCCATGCAGATAGTGCAGGTAATATCGGAGGTGGACACGTTTCAAGAGGTTACTTTGAAGTTGCCCGTAAACCAAAGTCACCGCCGGGCGTGCCAGTCGCGCGACAATGTGAGAGTCGCACTACCGTATACACGGTTGTGGTGGAGCACGGGATTCATTTTGTTCGCGGCGGCTCGAAAGAGTGGGACTAAAAACGATGCACCTTCACAAGAATGCTGAGTTGTGGGCAAAAGTCGTGCCCCAGGCGGGAGTCGAACCCGCACCTCACGCTTTCCGGGCGAGTGCGCTATCCGTTACGCCACCAGGGCCGCTTTTACCCTCTCAGCTTAACGGCTTATGCCGTAACCTTACAGCACTCACACGTTTAACTTGGTGAGCCGGTCAGCCGTAATCGTTAGATACGGCTGATCTCTGACTCCCGCCTGGGCACGACTTTTGCCCACAACTCAGCATTCTTGTGATAACATTCGGAACGCGTACTGCGGCGTTAAACAGAAGTTATCATAACAAAACAGATGCACCTTCAATAATTTACAAGCCTTACGACAACATAACTCGCATGCGAAAGCTGCGGCGTCACGCCCACCACCGCAGTGACTCACGACAGAATCGTCGCATACTCGATTCCGGTATCTTCGCTTCGTTTATTTCACCGTTGCTCAGCTTCACCTAACCTATGCTATTACACACTACCGCAAGCTTTTTTAATCAGTGATATTCGGGTGAGTCTAGCAACTGAAACCTTTCCCTAATCTTCTGGAAAGGAGATATTTAGTTATCTGCAGGCTCTCCTTAAAGGCAGTTGGCACGATAATCCCCAAGACGAGTAGGATTAATACGCCTGGCAGGACGGAATTCCGCGACCCTGAGCAGGCGCTGCATAATGCCTTTTCCAAGGGAGGTGCCCTTATAAGGGCCCTATCAAGCCACAACATTACGTCCCAAACGCCCGCCCGCCCACAAATGGACGACCGTTCCTGACGCTCGTATTCATTCATTTGCTAAGCAAATTATGAAAATTATGAAGCGGTATGAAGCGGCCGTGATGCTGCATGCATACATGGGTACACATATGCAGCCGTATCTTCGGTAGCGGTGATTGGTAAGATGCCTACGGGAAACTCGTCCGAATCAAGTCACTGAGAACGGAGGCTTTTTCTTCGCAGGATTTTGACCGTTTCACTCCGTTCTTTCGCCATTTCCCCACTATACAGCGCCCTACTAGCATTTTAGGCTAAGTAGGAAACCATCGTGCCAACTGCCTTTGACACAGTGAGGCTATGTAGTACAGTAAGGCTTCACACTATGCGAATCTGGGAAACGCTTTCTCCCAAATTCTCGCATTTGTGAAGTACGTAGCCTAATGTACGGTATTAGTACAGCTGGTATGAGTATAGCTAGCTACAACTAGGAGCTATGGACGATTGTGTTGCAGGCAACAACATAGGAGTCGTCTAGTATAAACAGAAAAAAAAACAGAATGCAATCCACATCCGTATTTAATGTTGCTGAAGAGTGAGGAGAAATTCAAGTGTGTTCGCTCTGCATACCTCAGCGTTGGGAAGGAGTGTACATGGATTCAGAGAGGTGGCTACCTTGGAAGCTGCCGCTTTTCAGGCCGAAAGAGTTGAGAGATGCATCACGGCGTGGTGTCGTTATCCCCGAGCCGAGCGCAGCAGAAGTGGCGCTGAGTTAGGTCATTCGCCATGACCCAATCGACTCAATCGACCAGTGCCTCTGTTGTGTCAAGTCAGGCAGTTCAACCTAGTGCCGCCTTTCTCCCCAAGGAAATGCTGCATTTCCTACCAGAACTGTCATTTATCCGCACTCGCCACTGCGCATACACCTTCCTCACATGAAAACATTTGCGAATCGAAATAAAATTGTCTGCGAATATAATAAAATTTTACCTACTGCAAACTTCCTATCTCATGCAAAATCCAGCACATCCTTAAAGGACAGTGGAAAACTAAGGATTACTGCTTGGCAGGAATACAATTAGGCAACGTCAGACTTCACGATGACGCGCGTCGAAGCGCTGCAACGCGCACAATTGCGACAGCGCTCCTAAGCTATAGACACGAACGCAGCCGCAGACGGCTAGTCCCAATAGATACCTATTCTGCGCGGTTGGGCAACAGTCACTATCCTAGTGCCCATACGCTCTCAAAAAACAAGCGGGCTGCGCCCATCGATCAAGCGTTCGCAAATGGCAATCGATCGGCGCCAGCCGTCTACGGCTGCGTTCGCGTCTATGGATCTGGAGCTTTGTTGCAATTGCAGCGCAGTTCAGCGCATTGACGCGCTGAAACTCGGGCGACGCATTCTAACGCGTCTGAACGCTACCTAGAACTGCTCAAGCACAGAATTACGCAATCTTGATGTACGGTGTAGTGCAGTTGTACGGTGCGATTGCACACACCGTAGTTTCACGATGATTAATCCAGCAGCCTGCTACCTTCCTAATTCAGTATTTTTCCCCACTATGGTGGACGCTAGCGCACGCTGCTATGCTAGATCTACATTCGTTCTTTCCTAGTCGCTCGAAACGCTCATGAAAAGCATGAGCGCAGCTTAAACACGGCCTACGAAGCACCGCAACTGTGCTTTCACACTGCCAAGTAACAGTTCCACCAAATCTTAGTGACGAAAAGCACATAGAAAATTGAATTAAATAATGCTCAATACCAACATTTTTGCAGTAATTAAACATGCTCATCGAAGGTTTACCCCATGATACGCCAGTAAGTCCGCAAGGAATAACCTGAAAGGAAAGAATACACCATCACGAATGCGAATGCTGAAAGAGCATTAAACGAGGGAGTAACTAACCAAACTTGGCAACGTCGTGAAGGAAGGTATCAGCTCCCACAACTGGGACCGGATAATGGGAACTGTTTCACCATTATCAATCAGATACAGCGTTGAATCGCTGTTACACAGAGCGCGAAACGCGACCGATTCACGATAGCAGAGCACGTACTGTCCTACCTAAAGTCAGTACAAATATAGCACCACAAGTGTAATAACAAAACTGCATAAAGCCTCTGCAATTTGCTTATAAATTCGACACAATGGGCAACACCTTCTAGAACTTATAGGTACTACGGTGCCAACAATTTGGAGAGAGTGCATTTGAAGCTCCTCTCAGAACTGCAATTTCCAAATGGAGATGAGGACTATAACTTAGTGCTGGCCCGGGTAAAAAAATAATGAGTTGTGCGTCTTATGGAGGTGATACAAAAGTAAAGAACAAAAAAAATACAAAAACCCCTCCGAAATGATCCATACAGTCTCATGCTGGGCCATCTTGTACCCGCGTAAGGCGAAGAAGGGGCATGGTTGGACGAGTTCTACTTGCTGGTGCCAGTTGTTCCCATATCACCTCACTGTTACCTTTAAATTGAAATAACTGTCAGTGAAGCGACACCGAGCAACCACAACTGAAAAAGGGCGTTGCTATGGCCAGTGGGCGGAACCGTGCGTCTTCCCGAGCAGATCGCACTCTCGACACATTTTTGAGCTGCGAAAGCAGTACGCATATTTTCGAAGAAGGCGCCCGAACATCAAGAGAACAGGGAGGGAGGGGGTGTGCCGTTAAACCCAAGAGGAAGTGCTCCGATGTTGGTGAACTAATTCAAAGTACAGTGCTCCTATTTGGATCGTGTTATACCCATTTTTCAGAGTTCACATTCCGTAGAGCAATCCATGACACCTTAGAAAGAACGCTGGTTTTCGATCGAAAATGGTCTATCAGTGCCGTTTTCAAAGTGCTCAGATCCGGAATTTCTCCCCAGCAAAATAGTCCTTCAGCGAGAGATGAAAAGGAGGCGGTGCGTTGGAACGACCCTGTTGAGTACAGCGGATAACAGTCCATCCCTCCCTCCCCCAATCTGGATCCTTGAAAATTCCTGGACACGGTTCGCAATATTTCGTCGGGCGTCTACGCTGAAGGACTATTTCACTAATCAGGCACAGAAAATGCTCCGCATTCTGTCCCTTCAGAAACCTTCGTATTGAAGTTCCCGACTTTCACTCCTACGCGCACTCCACCAATGGTATGGCAAACCTTCTCCAGACGTCGTTTATTAGACATGCGGGAGCCTTGGAACGAGACATGGTAAATTGGCGAACGGCCAACTTACTTAGAAGTTCCATACAGAAACCGTGAACAATCCTCAGCAATTATTGAAGGACAAATTGTACACTCCATGGTGAGTGGATCTGCAGTTGCAATAGCAAGCCCCTTTTTTCCCCTCAAGTACACGGGGACTCTAAAGTAGCGATACCCCGGTGTTGTCTCCAGACTCTGCCGTACGAGCAGCTCGTGCTGCAGCTCGAAGATAGCGCGGGCGGAGCCGGAAGACGGGTACCCAGATATCACTACTCTGCAGCCCCCCTCTCGCGCGATATAAGCGAAAAGACTTGAATGCTACTGCAGATGCAGACATACTCACGTTGCAAATGGGGGTAGCCTTTGGGGAGAGTGTACAATTTTTTGAGCCAAGAAAATGTACTGTTTGGTGGATCCATGCTGCAGTCGGCCTGCACGACTTTGCTCCTCTGATAAGCCGCAGAACAAAACAATCCTTTACATTTCGAGGGAAGTGCTGTTAAGACATGCCCTACATAATATTGGAAAACTGACAACGTCGCGCCCAATCATCAGAATGCCGTTCGAACAACCCTGTTTTTCGGATAATCGAAAGTCTAGGGGACTATGAAAAAGTCCGCTGAAGTTAACATTTTAGTAGAATTCACCTTGGGAATCTCATGGAGATTCGGATTTTTCATGCAGAATTTGTTCATCTCGCGTTGAAGGCACAAATACTCTTCTCCTAATTTTTGTTCGGCAGGAAGAACATGGAAAACAAAACCTTCGCCAACGGATTTGTAAGGAAATGGTGATTCGACAATGTGAACCTGAAATATAAACGTAGTCGGAAGTGGTAACTAACTATTTCACCGTAAAAGAAATTCCAGAAATAGTGTTACCAACCTTTACAGGAGTGTGAAGAGGAAGGTCCTGTGAAAAGCACTTTACAGCGGGGTAAAAGCGCTGAGGTTTCTGGGCGACAGGCTTGTCTCCGCAACGTCCTTTTATCATTGTACCGTCACCACGGGACGACAGCTCTTTCAGAGGAGGTCTGCTAAGAATCATAGACAACAACAGGATGGATGATCACTGCAACACATACCTACTTTCGCTGACTTGGGGCCCTCTACCATCATCACGCGATCGCTGGTTCTCTCCGTGTCGCACGCCAGTAACCTATAACATCGCTGAATGCTTTCATATGTTTCAATCTGATATTTATGGTTGCTTAGGCTGCGTACATACTTTGCGTCAGCATCCGCCAACGTTTCGAGCGTATACCAGCGTCAGCGATTAGGAAAATACAGATATCGATCGAGCGAACGCATCCACCGGCGGACAACAGCGTTTTCGAGAGCAGTTTCGTTCAAGTTCAAAAGTGTCCACAAAACGCTGCGGTACGCTGACAGGTGCTGGCGTTCGCTAGATCGATATACGTACTTTCCTAGTCGCTGGTAGACGCTGACGCAAAGTATGAACAGAGTCTAGTACTATAAATATCGGTACGTATAGGTGTTTCAAATGCTCACCAACAGTTGCGTACCATTATCCAAGTTGAGGTACTTCCCGTTTCGGAGCTGACAACGAACCTCATCGGCACCGTTCATGTTCTCCATTATAACAAACCTATGACGCGAATCAGTCAAATAACTACAGGCGCAAATGTAGGTAGGGGGGCAAGCGGGAGCATGTATATTCCTGCTCTTTAAGACTATACCCCAGCAACTTTGTCTGCGCTCTGTAGTCTGAGGCAGCGTTTAGGGTTCGCGATGACGCGCTATCACTACAGTAGAACCCCAATGCTGTAGACGAAATCGCACCCATAGACGGCTTCGATCGAGCCGACCGATCGGGTATAGGTTTGGGGAAGAATACGAATATACCCCCACTTTCCCATGATAGAGCCTTCGCCGTTAATCAATCCCTTTGTGGAATGCGGCACGCATTCTACTTCCATTCAGAATCGTAGTGGCTTATTGAATGCGATGTGGCCTATACAATGACTTGCGGGGGCCAGCCGATGTACAAGTCAGTGTTTTATCCTCCCAGACGAATCTGGTACCAATTTACCGTCTCCGGGGGATAAAATACTCGGCTTGGCCTCGGCGGAGACCATCCAGGATTCGATTGCCGCAGTGTGCGCATGGTAAGCGTGCCATTTACAGTCGTCATCCTTGCACTTGATAGTCAATGTCAGTGCGGCTGCGTGCGGCGCGGTCGCCCGCACCCGTACTGCACCAATCGTTGAACCAGGAAGTGACATTACTGTATTATATCCTTCGTGTTACTCGTTTTCTATCACTTTTTGTCGCATACGCGTTTCAACGAAAAGGCTGAGAAGGCTTCAAACAGTGTGCACGCTCCTTCTCGCCGACACGCCCCTATCAAGTGCAAGGATGACGACTGTACGAGCGGCGGGGTCGATCGATACCTATCTATAGCCGCGTGGTTTATGAAGCGTCGCGCGTCGACGTGTTAAGACAGTGCGCTACAGCACGTCGACGTGCGTCATCGCGGACTCTGAAAGCCTCAACCTTGGCTGGAGAGCGGACATGGACGCGCTGCCGCCCCCTCCCCCCCCCCCCCAAGTTGCATTGTACCTAAATATGTAACAATGACGTATAGCAAGACTCACCCGTATTTGGTATTCGACTGTAGCTGCTTCGAGGGGATTTTGACATTGTGTACAGTACCAAATCTATAGAATATACGGAAGAGGTCCCACTGGAATTTCAGTATCAAAGTCACAAAGTAAGAACATCCCTAATAGCACCACATCTTTTTTCGTCGCACCACAGTGAACTTGCGTCATGCCGCAATTATAAACCTTGCCCGACACAAAAAAATCGACCCAACCGACAACAATACTCGCGAGAAATTCAAGGAATCGGGCTTATCGGGGAATTTGCCCAATGGAAAAGTACTAATCGATATGTGAAGTTAGAGACTTCGCAAAAAGGAAAGAGGATCGATGTCCTATTCTACGATTTTAAAGTCGGGAAGAGGGCGTCTTTACCCAACCATTTAACGAATTCTTCAAGAATCTTAATCGTCAGAAGGCCCCGTACTTTTCCTTCAATCCTCCCAATTCCATAATTTATGGATTATCCGCATTCTCAACCTCCCACTTCCTAAAAAGAACCGCGTTTTCACTCCACGTACTAAAGACTTTTGCGAAAACTGATTTGATGTTCCCTGTTTCTTTTGGCAAATGTACCGGCGCATGTCACGTACTTCTGGACTAATCTTTAGTGAACTCCCTTAAAACACTATTGTTACCATAAAACATATTAATTTTAACAATACCCCATCTAAATTTCGATATCCATGTCTACCGACGTCCTAAAGTTATTGCGCCTCAAGCATGATGAAAATCTGGCCCCTATCCCCGAACCAACGACTGTTCTCAATACTTTCCTTGTTTCAACCCTCAATCAAAAAGAAAATCAGCTTTATCAATAAACTCACATCCACGAATGTGCTGGAAAATAATTCTTTACACAGCAACTCACTTGTTCAAAGCCTATTGGAGATGAATCGCAGAAGGGAGTTGATCCATTTGGCTCTGAAAGTTATCTGCAATGGTAAGTACCACCAAAATGAAACAAGAAAGCAACCGATCAGGACAAGAGCTAGAGACCATCAATAACAAGGGACGTCGCTCTAACTATTTGAATCTGCTCTAATTAGTTTTCGCGCGCCGTTTATGTTCGCGCCTTGTACGCAGTTGCACTAAATCATTTTCAAGTCGTCAAGGAGAGGTGGAAGAAAGACCCTTGTAAAAACACAGAAACTTTTCGTACAAAGCCTAAGGGGAACGGAATTTCGGTTTGGGTGAATCCATTTGTTTTCGTGTTGGAAGTGGCCCTATTAAATGCTTTGGATGCCCTGTAGAACCTAAAGAGGTAGCGCTCTGTCAGAGCGCAGAACTTAAATGCCGTGGCCTAAACCCACACCCGGAAAAAATGCCGGACGAGTTTTACGGGAGCAAGTCGTCCACTTCGTTGTGGGACCACCCGTCCCTTTAGCTTCATTTGAATTAGATACTTCATAAAAGCTGTTTTTTTCCGAGGTGCTCCGTTTTTTAAGGGGTGTATCGTTCGTTTGGGCAACGATTTTTTCTGTCACCTTCCCGTCTAAACGTGTCAGGTGAATATTGTTCCAGATGAGACAACTCGCCCGTGGTTCCAAATTAGTTTTCCCCCTAAGTAATCATTAGAAGAAAAAACTTGGCTGAGAACCATGGGCACTGTAGCCCACACTGACGGTTTTTGGCAGACTACAAATTACGAAAGCCTCATAGTCTAGTGATTCATACAAGTTATCCAACTTGGTAGGGACTTACTACCTGTCAAAACACGTCAGTTGCAATGGAATGGCGCCAAACGACCGCCTCCCGTTCAGGGCCCAGCATTGGTTGGGGATTCCTATGGGGGCGGGTCGTGTTGCCCCCCCCCCCCCTGCTCGACAGACAACTTTTTCGCCCCGAGTATAAACACAAATCACAGTCAGCCATGTCAGCCATCGTGGGGGCATGGGGGGGGTCGTACCAGCAGCTGAAAAAAAGGGGTGGGTCGTAAAAGCTCGACCAAAATCCCCGATTCGAAATGATGAGCCTCGCTGCTGCGCCGTTTTTTTTTAGGATACATCCCTGGCCGGGTGCCAACCATTTTCAAAAGGTCTGCCACTCAGCGATGGATCCAAACCGCAGGAAATATCTTAGCAGCCTATCTTCGGTCACTTCTGTGCACAGCAATAACGAACGCGCTGTCATAAAGAGTCGGTGAGATGTCCGGGTTAAAGAATTGCTTTTTTTGATCATGTGTGTTTGGAGACACTTTGACTCGCTTGCTTTTAGGGGGCTGTCAAGGAAAAGAACTGTTGAGTTCAGGAGAACAACATCAAATCTCTGATAGATCTAGATTCATACTGCAATTCTTCACAAGCCGCAGTTATAAAGGAATCCCGGCAAAAATACAAACAACGAATGGTTTTAAAATGAAAGCTGCAAATGGAGAACAGCATTGCTGCATGGAAAAAGTGAATTAACTCCCTCAGGATCACTGGCAAATGGTTTTGCTTCAAATCAACCGTAGTATAGTATATTCCTCAACATACAAACACCCATCCATACTTACCTTCTCCCATCCCCGTCTGCAGGTGAATGAAGTGTAGCTTCAGTACAGCATGAACTGCTGGAGCCATTTACTCAATGCGGACCAGCTCCGCAAACCTCAGTAACCACCACCAGGCCAAAAGGCGGTATGTACTAAGCAAAGCACGAAACCCGGTAACTCAGTACCTACAAACAGGCTTTCCATCACCCATTCGAGAGCAGAAAGCATGGCTCGAAATATAACTAATGATTACGCACAGAAAAACAGAGATGAATCTCTGGTCAAGAAAAGTGTTATTTTAAAATTAATCGATCAACTGAATACCCTTTACCCACAGTAGGGGCGGCGTCAAACGAGATCACACCGGACGAAGAGTCGCGGGCAGAAAGCCCGGATTGAGGCCAAATCCAGGTTTTCCACGTTTCTGGAGCGGTGGGCCCACCCGCCCGGCCTATTACAACAGCACGGGGAGGTGTGACAACTCTTCAAACACTTGAACAATAATTTTTCTTTCACCCTCAGCCCTGGAGGAAACAGGATAGAGAAGAGCAATGCTAGAACAGAGCTGCCGCTAGGTTCTACAAAATTCTGCAGAAGCAAACCAGTTGTGACCAATAAGAGGAGTGAATCAGAGACAGAATTATTATATGAAAAGGACGGTGTGCCATTTTAGCAAGTAAAGACTACTAGTGTGTTCCGAGATAGGTATGCACTGCAGCACCATCCAAAAGGATGGCTGTCTTCAAAAACAAGCAGTCCAGGTAAAGGGATCAACATAGACGACTTCCGGCGCACACAATATCGAAGCCTACTATAAGAGAATCAAGAACTGATACATGATGTTCTACTTGGTTTAGCATTCACATCTATATGTACCTAAAATTTGTTCATAGCGTCTTTTTCAGGTAAGTGAGAGTCATAAATGATATTTTCAAGTTCTACCGCAATCTCTTCCTCGCGAAAAAGAAAAATAATTCACCGTATTTGGTACGTAGAGTCATCATCAAAACACAGAATTCCAAGTTGACTAACACGTGTCGAGAATAATTTCACACCATCCAAAAACAATATGCTGGCTTTTCCTCGTTTCTTCACTCTTTTTTCTTACTTAGTACATTTTTCTTTCCGTGCGCAGGGGTTACCGCCTCTACTCTATCAATGATAGGTTAGAGCCCTATTCAGGAGCAGGAATCCAATACCACCGGCTCCCACTCTTCCACAGGTAAGCATTTCAGGCTTTTAGATTTGTGCAGCTGCAAGCTTCACCTCCATCGACGAGATATCAGCAGAGATAAACATAACTTGACATGGAAAGATCCTTCTAGTTTCTCGCCCACCGCCTTCAAATTATCGCTTCCCAGTGATCACTACCACGCCTAAGCGGGCTGGCCGTCTTCTGTCCTCTGTTGCCTTAGTTATGAATACAGTGCACATTACAGTGCAGTTCTCCAGCGGACGGTTGGCGGCGTCCTAAGGCCACGCTCGCTGGCGAGCGGGCCCGATAGTTGCGCTGTCGCGTCGGCGTGGCCGCAAAAATCTTCGTGGGCCTCTGCCCTCTCCTTGCTTGCTGCACTCTGCGCTCTAAGCACAAGCCGTCCGCACCGTCTACCCAGTCTCTTTCTCTCTAGGCCTCTTACCCGCGATCGCATAATTGCTTCGATCAAGCTAATCCCTCGCCGTATTTTGCGGCAGTATTTTTGCTGAGACTTCAAAGCTTATTAAAGGCAGGGAAACTTTTTAAGACTTTGACTTCAAATGTTCGTAAGGTCGAGTAGTCTCACTGAAAAAATTATATTCACAGAATGATTTAGCATTAAATTGGGAAAGAAAAAAATTGAAATTGGGAATTTTAGCATGGGAAAGCGAACCATTAAGGCAACTTCGAGCTTCAAAAAAGTGTCAGAGATGGTTCTCGATAATAACGAGATCACATCTGAGACACTATCTTGAAAACTCGGTCAATATCATAAGATAAATGGGGGTATTGAGAAAAAGTTTGGAGAAATTGCGAAAATCAGAAAGAAAAACAAGTTTCCTAGGGGAATTTCATGCTAAATTCATGCAAAATGTGGAATAATTTCAGTAAGGATACTCACCTTCGAGGTTTATAATAATTGAGGTCAAAGTCCGAAAAATTTTCAAGCTTCAACAAAGTTCTTAGCAAATTACTTATAAATTACTGCGAAAATGCGGCAGGAATCAGCTGATCGAGAGCGTCAGCAATTATCGATCGGTAAGAGTCCAGAGCGGAAGAGTGGGTAGACGGTGCCGCGGCGTGTGTTAGAGCGCAGAGTGCAGAGTAAGAGACGGAGAGGCAATGATGATAATCTCCTGAAAGTTTTCGGTTTCCCATCGACACGCAATCACCGGAACGCTCGCCAGCGTGGTCGTAGGGAACGTCCCCACCGTCCGTTTGACGCGCTCAACTGTACGTGCAAACAAAGCGCCATCAGACCAAAAATTGTGGCTCACTTCGATTCTCGTTCATAGGAAATCCATGATCGCCATACAATATTCCCAGTTAGACAGCCAGAAATGTATTAATGATGTGAATAGCTGTGGTAGATGTTGTCAGACCTGACTTGATAATAATTGTTGTATCGTGCATACAACACGCAT